TTAGATTTTTGGACATTTGGACATTTGGACTATGTCCAATTTGTCCAGTATGTCCAAATAATTTTTTGGACCTTTAGAAAGTGAACAATATCCAAAAAAATTACAAGATCAATTGAACATATGTCCAATTGTCCAATAATTTTATTAAACAAAATAATAATATATATAGAATATATGGCAACAAGAATTCACATTATAGCTTTATTGCTTTATAACACTTTTAATTTCAATAAATAATGTTTATCTTTTCAAAATTTTGACATTAACTAATTTATTTATTTGGGCATGTAGTTAAAATAAAATCAATCTATTATTATTTTCAAACATACTTTAATCATATTTCTTTAGAGTATTACCAAATATGAATTTCTAAAACTATCTAACATAAGTAGAGATGTTAAAAGTCTGGTCTGGTCTATGAAGCTTAGACTCAGTCCCAAGTCAGATTTGGGACTGAGTCCTAATAGTCGCATGCATATTCTAATTTTAATACTATAATATCATGCTATATACAATAAAACAATAACTATGTATACAAGAAAAGGTAAAGTGCATATTTTTTTACATTATGCACATATGATATATAATATTGCATATGATTATTAGGACTCAGTTCCAAGTCTGACTTGGAACTAAGTCTAAATTAAAACTCAACTTTATGAAGTCAGATTGGACTTTTAACATCTCTAAAAATAAATATATATATATATATGTACATTTACATATATGCATATTGTAAGTAAAAATAGAATTCAGGCTAATTTGGTATGTATGAAACTAGAAATTAAGTTGCTTAAAATTATCTTTTAAGATTAGAATGAGAAGTATCAATATGTTCTAATCTAAATAAGTTTAAAATCCACTTTCTCACTTTCAACATTCATGCATATAGAATGTGAAAAATTAATAGTTAAGGTATACAATAGAACAATAGTTCATGCAAGGTCTGGATGATGTAATTGGTTTAATTTAGAGATTTTCTAATTTATAAATGCTTTTGAATTTTTAATGCTATTGTGTGTAGAGTATCTAAACTTATATGATTTTAAGGTCTTATTGTTTAAACAATAGCAAACCTCAAGAACATATAAGCCTGAATACTATTGTATGATAGTGAAAAAAGATATAAATGTAAAGTATGTAAGTAAGTCTTTGTTAGTTTGTAGATGCTTCTTTTGAACAAACAATACTAAAAGTTTTCTTAATAAAAATACACCTTTAATGATTGTTTTGTTGTAAACTAGATCAAAGCTAGAATGATATATAGTGAATAATGGCTATTTTTTAATATAATGCGAATCAAAATTGATATAAAACTCAATATATCTTAATTCTAACAAGACTTGAATTATAATTTGTAACTCAAAGTAATTGGCCTAACTATGAAAAAGTAAAAAGTATTTAATTCATATTTTTATATGTTTACTGAATAAATATTTATTACATAGAATATTCAAAATCTTTGAAGATCAAAATTCACACAAACTTTTAAGAGCAGAATAATAGATTTTTGATGAATATAGTTCATTATGTTGGATTTTTTTTTTGACTATTTTTATCACTAACATTAATGTATCGTAGCATGATTTTTTCTTTGAATAGCAACACAACTTATATGCAAAAATTACAATAATACCAATGATTATATTGTTGAGAATTACTTTTTTTGAATTTCAAAATCATCAAAATATTAATTTTATTATTTTATATAAGATTGTGTAGCTTTTTTTTAACTTTAATTTTTTGCTTCACAATGGGTAGAAAATGATATATGCTAACAGATTTCTTTATTATTATGGACGAAAAAGCAAATAAGAGTAATAAGTATGCTGTTTGTAAATGTTGTATCGAAGGCTCTATATATGAAGAAGCTTATAAGAATAGAATAACTAATACTCAACAAGAATGCAGGCATTACCTTAATTTCTGTCAATTTTTTATAGCAAAATATCCTAATGAAACAGAGTGTAATAATATTTTAAACCTGATCTTAGAAAATAATTTACAAGAAAGTAAATTAAGTGTTGAAAAGTATAATTTAAATTTACTTGTATTATAGTTTATAAATAATATACAGTATGTATTTACTTAAATCAAATTTTAGCTGATGAAACTACTTTAAAAATTTCTTCAACTATTTCTAATGAAAGTAGTTCAAGTAAATAAGCTCGACTAGGTCTAGATAAAGAATTAACATTAGATAATTATTTTGCAAAACCTCTTTCAAATAAGCAAAATAAAAAATTAGAACAGCTACTTTTAAAAGCAACTATTTCATGTAGTTTAGCTTTTTTTTGGATCAATGATCCTGAAATTAGAAAACTTTTTTATTATATAAATCTTATCATCAAATTACCAAAACATCATATGCTTTCAGGTTGAATTTTAACTAATGCTGCTAAAAACAATATAGAATTACAAAAAAAAGATATGCAAACAGATCAGCTTGATGTTACTTTAACTTACGATAGTTGGAAGAATATTAAAAAGAAAAGTTTATTAGGAATAGCATTAATTAATTCAAAAGGCAAAATATTAATTTGGGATGCAAAAAATCTTTCAGAAAGACGAACTCGATGGTCTGATATTGTACAAATTACTAATGATCTTTTTACCAAATTTGAATAAAATAAGATTAGAGTTAATTGTCTCATAACAGATTCAGTTTCTGAATTTATGACAGCTTGATCATGTCTTCGAACTTCTTATTCTAATAAGGTTTTTATACCTTGCTTCACACATCAAATGAATTTGGCTGTTGGTGATATATTTCAATATTCATCAACTTTTAAGACTATTGCAGAGGAAGCAATTAGTCTTGTATCATTTTTTAATCAGTCTGCATTTTTTTTGGGATGACTTCGAGATGAACAAATTTTAATATATGGTAATAAGTAAATATCTTTTATGCTACCAAATACAACCTGATGGAATAGTTATTATTATTGCTTTTCAAGCATTATCAAGACTCATACAGTCTTTAAAGTATGTTTTCTATTGATAATATAATTTAATTAAATATACAGTTAAAACTCGATATAATAAAGGATTATGCACATTAATATATATTATTTTAAATTATGCGCACTGTCATAGATTAATAAATGTATGATTTTTACTAAAGATTATGTCAAGTTTTATAAAAAATATAAGTAATTTCTTATTTATTTAATTGAATATATTTAAGAAAAAGCACTAACAAAATTTTATTATTTGTGCTTACTTATATATACTTTGTCATATATTATATCAAAATTATCATACTATATATTTAACTCAAATTAGTATACTTATTTTGGTAAACTATCTTGTATTACCAATACTTATATTATTGCATAATTAAATTTTAGACTCTAATCGATTATTACATAAACATGTGATAATCAATCACTTTGAACTCTTTAAGAAAAATAAAAAGATAAGTATTATTCTGCATTTTTTTTATTTTTTAAAAAAAATTTTTTTAATGCAATTAACTATTCAACATTCTAGGGTCCTAATTCTATTCTCTTCACATAATATGCTATATACTATCTAGAGATATTAAGTAGTCTAACTAGGGCATTAGAATTTATATTGTACAAAGTTTTTAATATACTGATTCAATTAAATAGATCATGTTTTTAACAGGTAGTTAAACTACTTAATATCTCTAATACTGTATATTGCTATGATAGCGTAAATTAAAATTATATATATTAATACATATATTCCAAATTATATGCATTTATCTCATTGAAGTTTGGTATGCATTAAATGTGCATGATTTGAATATATGTAAAGTTCACATTTATCTATTTTTAATTCTTACTTATATCGAACATTTTTTATTTTAAAAGTTATTTGTAATTTTAATTATATTAAATATTAAAATTTGCTTTAAAATAGAATCTTGCGAACAAATTGATGAAGGTTTAAATACTAGCTTAGTTGGCTTTTCTAAAGATATTCTTGTAAATATTCTTAATAATTCTTGGTGATCTGATTTATAAGAGCATGAGGCACTTCTTCTTTCCTACTGTTCAGCATTAAACAAATTGCAATGTGATCATTCTAGGCTTCATGAAGTTTTACATAGCTTCAGATAGATTGTTCAAGTAATTAAAGGCCTTTCTGATTACAACCTTCAAGCTAATCTTTTATCACATTTAGAATGTTGATAGAATACATGGGAACAACCACTATTGCTTTTAAGCTTTTTACTTCATCCTGAATATCGTGATAATATATTTAATAAGCAAATACCTAATTTAACTTTTTTTTATCTTGGTCAATGGTTATTATACTATTATAAAGCTTGGTTTGGACATGAGTCAAAAGGGATTTTAAATGAATTACAGCAATATCGAGAGAAACAATATCTATTTTAGGATGAAGATTATCAACAATTTGGAAAAAAATGCGATATTCTTTCTTTTTGAAATTTTGTTGGTAGGTTTACTGAGGAATTACATCTTGTTGCACAATGTATTTTTCAATTTGTATTAGCTTAGCATTTATTGAACAGTTATTTTTTACTATGGGTTGGTTACATAACTTTCAAAAAAATAAATTAAAGGTATATCTCACCTTATATATGTAAGTACTGGTAAAATTGAAAAAATTCGTCATGCTGAATAGCATGATTCGAATGCCACCCAAACTGCTATTTAATACTATCACATGATTTCGCAGACATGCATATTTGTGAAATAATATGATAGTGTTGAATGGCAGTTTAAATAGCAGTTTGGGTGGCATTCAAATTATGCTATTTAATATAGCAAATTTTTTAATTTTATTAGTAAGATGTTTGCTATTTATTATGTAAATGCTAGTATTAATTAAATTTTTTAGCCTGAAAAGGTAATAGCAATGTTTCAAATATGTAGTGATCTAATATATTCATGCTGAATAAAAGGAATTCATGAATCTAAAAAAAAGTTTACTCAAATACAAATTGCAACTTCTGCAATGCTTTCTAATAAAAATTTGAATAGAAATGGTAAGTATTCTAAAAATACCAAGTTGACATTTTAAAATATCTTCAAAAGTTTTTTTTTTTTGTTGTAAAATGGATATTATATAACTTAATCATATGTTATGATAATTACAAAATAGTTGTGCATTTTATAAGAATGAGAATTACTCAAAATAATATGTAAAATTACCATAGGCCATTACAATAACCAATGTTGTAAAATGTGTTATTAAAATAATTTAAACCCTTTTTTTTTTTTTACTATCCTAGATGGGACGATTCAAGAATCAAAAAATAAGGATACAGAATTAGAAGAGACTCAGCAATCAGAAAAAAATGATGAAATTAGTTCAGTTAATGAATAGCAAGAAACTGTAAATAATTAGAATTCTCTTATAAAAGAGGAGAAAGAAATGATATTAGAATCAAATCATTTAGATGATCCAGATGAAGAAAATGAAGAGTTGACAGAATTTAGTTTTGAAAATAAACATCTTGCTATTGTGTTCAATGCTAAATAGAAATTGGAAACTCTTTTTGATGAAAATTATTTAGAACAACCAGCATTTATAAATTTATTAAAGTAAGATAAATGTTAATTTGTATTAGCTAGAAATTAAGTTGGCTATCAGGCATTAGTGTAATAAAATAAAATATAGCTATTATTTTACCTGAATTACCTAAATTATTTAATTGTAATCTGCTTAAATATTGCTTCAAAGTACATACGTATTTTATATATTACTAATTAGATTTAAAAAGCTGAAGTGTTTTATAAAAAAACCTGTTATCAGGCTTTTAATTATATTATGTTCTGGATACAATCACTAATAAATCATATAGATCGAATTTGGTACAAAATATAATTGAAAGCCTGACACATATTTTTTCTTAATAGCATTCATATTATTGTACTTCTTAATAGATTATAAATTAATAAAACTATATATTTGTGTATTAGTATAAAATTTGGCCTAAATTGAGTTTAATTTAGGCTATAATTAAACTAATTTTTTCTTTATGTCCAATAAAAAAATTTATAATGTCCAATCAAATTATTTGGACAAATTGGACATTGTTCAAATGTTCAAATGTCCAAATTGTCCAAATGTCCAATATTATAATATAACATCCCTGATTATATATATATAATTTTAATATTTATTATTATATTTTTTTATTATTTATATAATTATTAAGTTATCTGTTTATTTTTTTTGATATTAAGGTAAAGTTATTTGTTTATATTATTTAATATTTATTTTTTTATTTAATTTTTTTTTTAATCTTAAGCAATTATGCTAGTACTTTATTAAGATACTTAAACTATTTACATTTATAATTACATAAAATTTCCCAATACTCAAGTCTAGCATCACTTAGCCATCCTATTAGTACCTAAGTGCAATTTGCCATACTATTTCAGTTAAAGATAGACTGCTTGTCTAACTACTTAAAGCTATACCAGAAAGGTCTTTCCTCTTTTATAACAAGTATATTAATTGACTTCTAAGCTTCTTTCTTTATTTAGTTTATTTTTTTTACTTTTTTTTTTTTTCTTTTTTCTTTGTCATCTTATTCTTTTTGTTCTTTTCTCTGATCTTCTTTTAGCTTGAGCACCTTTTTTCAATTTGCTTGTTATATTAACCTTCTTTTCTTATTCTTGTACTTTTTCATATTGAACATTTTATACTTGATCATAGAATATATTCTATACTGTTCTTGTTACTATATCTATGTATTTCTGTATTGCCTGTTTATCTAAAATTTAACTGATTCTTTTTCCAACCTCATTTGTTGTTAGCTCTCTTATTAAAGCTATTCTATTAATAATTTCTTCTGCTTCTGTTTTTCTAAATAGTGCCTCATATAGCACTAGAAACAAAATTCTAATTCTTTTATTTTCTTTAAGACTGTTCTAAGCTGCTATTATTGCTACTTTTTGGATCCTCTTTTACAAGCTTTTTTGTCTAATGCAGCTTGCCAGGTGTGCTTAAGTTTTCTTTTTACCTTTTTGACATACTTGGCAGTTCATTATTGTATATATTTCTGGTCTTTTTTTATTTAATTCTTCTAGTATTAGTAGGCTATCTATTATGTATTTAATTACTATTGCTCTTCTTGTACTAAGTTTTTTTTGTTGTATAATGTATATTCTTTGTTTTATTTATCTCTTTTCAAAAGCTTGACCAATTATATGAAGTATTTTCAATTTCTAGTTCTAGTGCTTAAATTGGGTTTGTTTCTCTTTAACTAGCTCCAATTCTGGCATTTGTAACTATTTTGCAAAGAAGTTTTATTGGTATATTAACTTTCTTGTTTTTTCATTTTAAGTGGTACTCTATTCTGTCACACTTGATCTTCTCTACAAATATTGTCCTTTCACATGTTGCTTCTTTTTTTGCAAGTAAATTTGCTTTGTTATTTTACTTATCATTACTGTAATTTTTAACTTTAACTAGTTCTATTCTATTGTTCTTGCTTTTAAGTAGACCTACAATATTTATTATCTACATCATATTTTTCATTTTAAGACTTTGTTATCTCCAATTTCTTGAATTGCTTTATTAATATGTCTTAATGCTACTAGGCTATCTGTATATACTTCTATACACTTCTCTTTTGGTATAGTTAGAATTGCTAATCATATTGCTACTAATTCTGCTAT